GCAAGAGTGGGCTTGCTCCTCAGGCGTGAAGGCGGGTTCTCGGGTAGAGGGGCCTAGGGTGTAGGGTTTAGGGTTCTAGTGTTTAGGGTTGAGGCTTTAGGGTTTAGGGAGTTTAGGGGTGAGAGTTTCGGGTTTGGGCTTCTAGGTTTTTGTCTTACTTCGACGTCCCCCAGAAAGATTTCTCTGTGTCGGGTTTCAGCTTGAGGACTTCTCACCTTGGAAGTACAAGTGCCCGTTGCATTGCACCCCATGCCTAAACCCTAAATCAAACCAAACCCCTAAACCATCATAAAAACTAAATCTTAACCCCTAAACCCTAAATGCAACTAAACCCTAAATTCTTAACCGCAATTCCAGGAGACTTAGTATCAACAATAAAGACGACATCCACAATCTCAATCTCAAGCCATCAGCCCCGAACACAAACCTAGGCCATGCCAGCAGGTGGCGCCACATCCACTGGAGCCACTGACATGCCTATTTGCTGCTGTGTATGTTGTGCTGATATGGCCTTTGATTATTGGAGTGTCTCCCAACATGCTTGCAACTCAGACTGCCAAGCTTTCTGTCGCCAGCCAACGTATGTCTGTATGTGCTGGTCTCTGCTCTGAATTCTATACCTGTCTTGCTGACTGAACCCTGCAACAGCTACGGTACAGACAAGGGACATGCACCAAGGGGGCATACTTGCAAGTTTGTTACGGCAACGTGAAACATGACTGGTTCTTGTTGTAGCCGTCATGGCCATCGTATAAAACTTGATCATGACCAGGAAACAAGTCCGGCACACCAAGAATGAAAGCAGAACGATCAACAACTTTGAGAATTTCAAGCGAGTCAGAGGCGTTTTAGATTTAGGGCTTTAGGGTTTCGGAGTTTGGGGCTTTGGGGTTCTGGGATTAGGATGCAAGGTCTTCTAGCCAATGTAGGGACCTCCCAGGGTGGTATTGGTATATTACAATATCAGGGTTTAGGCTTTAGGGCTCCATATCATGATAGCAGGGAGCGATAAGGAATAACGTTGGTGATTGTTCAGGTTTTCAAACCACCTGTTTTCATAGCCAGCGCTGTCAAGCGATGTTCGTCACCCAACGCACCCGCAGAGTGGCGCATCATTCAGTGAAAATATTGATTGGCCCGATCACTTCGGCACCAGCTGCAACTTTGGTTGCTGCCAGCCACCCGAAAATGCCTGGGACGTGGTCATGTGGCTTGAGCAACCACTCGTCAAGTTCATGCTTTTTGCAATCAGCGGCACTCACCCTAAGCCCAAACCAGCACAGCAGAGAATCGGAGAACGGACAACCCCAAACCCTAAAACCTTAAAGAGCCCTGTGCCCTAAAACTCCAAAGCCCTGAACCATAAACCCCAAACAACCTTACGCCCTAAACCCCCTAAACCCAACAACCCAAACTCCTAATTCCTATAATGCAGAGGCCTTATAATGATTAGACTATGTTTTTTTTTGGGGGGGTTGTTAGTCCTTCTTAAGGAGCCCCCCCCCCAAAAAAAATGTATAGGCAAGTATTCCCTAAACCCTAAACCCTAAACCCTATTAAGGTTTCTTTAAACTAAACCCTACAGTTCGCATTCAGAGCCGCCTCGGGATTCGGCAAATAGAGCCGCATGACCTCACTGAACCAATCAGCCACGGAAATGCAAGGTTACCGTTTAGGGATTAGGGTTTAGGGTTTAGGGTTGAGGGTTTAGGGTTAATTATAAGACCCCTAAGCCCTAAACCCGAAACCCTGAACCCATAAAAGTTGAAACGTTGCGTTTTGGAGAACTAAGCGACCATGTAGAAGAGGCCGCAGGGTGCAGGCAGCCAGTTGCTTTCCTGACACGCTCTTGCGGTTTAGGGCCTAGGGTTTTAGGGTTTGGGGTTTAGGGCTTAGGGTTCGGCGCTTAGGGTTGACGGTTTAGGGCTTAGGGTTTATGCCTTAGGGTCTAGGGCCCAGGGCTTTTTATGGTTTGAGGCTTTGGGGTTTAGGGTTCTGGGCATTTGGGCTTATATTTAAGGGTTATTTAGGGCCTAGGGTTTTAGGGTCTAGGTCTACGGCTAGGGCCGGCAGGGTTTAGACTTCAAGGGCCTTAAGAGCTTATACAGAGGTCCTTTTGAAGGGAGCTCCAAAAAATCTACAAGGCTTTGGGGCTCAGGATTTTATGGTTTAGGGTTTTATGGTTTAGGGTTTGGGTTTGCATTTAGGATCCAGGAGTTCCGTTCGCAGTTCAGGCTCCGAGCTTTTCAGTTGCAGGTGTCAAAACCCATATCGGAAGCCCGAAAATTGAAGTTTCACTATTTCAGGCCTCGGCTGAAGCTCAACCATAAACCCAAACTTTGCCCTAAACCCTCAACCATAAACCCAAACCTAAGTACCTCAACAGCGGGATCTGCTATCATAGGGCCGTCGCGGTTTGGTAGGGGTTTTAAGAAAACGCAAATTTCACCCCTGAAGCCCTCAGACTAAACCATAACCCCAAAACCCAAAACCCTAGACCCTAAACCCTAAACCCTCCTAGATCCCAGACCCTAGTTCCTGCCTAAACCCTAAACCCTAAACCCCAGGTCCTGATGTTTCAGCTTCAGTGAAGGGTTCGACCATAGAAGCCTCACTATTTGGTAAGGCCCCCTTGGGTTTCTCGTGCTTGTTGTCGTAAAATATACTAGGGCCCTATTCATACTGTTGATGATACAAATCCTACATTACCTGAAGGACCCTCAACTATTGGAATTATGGTGTATTCCGTATTATGCGTAATGTAGGATATATGTATATATATATATATATATATCTCTCTCTCTCTCTCTCTCTTTCTGTCTCTCTCATCAAACGTATTAATCAGGCACCTGTGTTCAACCCCTGTGAAAAGCCCTGTCAGAACCCTCATACAAAACATAACGAGCTATTGAATGGCCCCCAAAGAATTCTAGAAGGCCTTAAACGGGCATAAACCCCAAAACCCCAAAAAGCCCTAAAGCCCTAAACCCCAATGCCCTAAACCCCAAAACCTAGAACCGTAACCTAAAGCCCTAAAGCCCCAACCCCTAAAACCCTAACGCCCAATACCCCAAACCCTAAACGCCCTGAAACCCAAAGCCCCAAGAAGATTTCAAACCCTAAACCCTAAACCCTAAACCCCAAATCCAAAAACCCTAACAACAAACCCTAAAAGCTCAACCCTAAACCCTAAACCCCAAACCCTAAACCCTAAACCCTAAACCCAAAAAAATTAAAGGTTGGGCATTGGAGAACCAAGGATCCTTCTCCATGGCCGGGACTGTTATCACCACCGGTTCAGCACGTAAATCCAGCCATGCGAAAGAGTATGGTGTGTCCGAGTTCGGCGTTACGATCACCTGATCAAAACTACAAGTACTTCCTGGACGCTCAAGAACCTACTCTTTGGGGTACTGTTTAGGGTTCCGTATTGTCATTTCTTTCGAAAAGTCCTTGAGAAGGTAAGTTATTTACAGTCCAGGGCGACTGCTGAGAGTTTGGCCACATGGCCTTGTCCTCGGGCGTGAAGACCCGTGCAGTGCTGTGGATCTGATTGAAGGGCGCCTTGTAGTCGGGGTTCTCGGGTTAAAGGAAACTGCAGGTGGGGAGTTTAGGGTATATCGGGCTTCTCTCAGGATAAAGTATACAGACCTTCTATAAGGCTCCTATAACGGTAACTACCCACCTGAAAATGTCCCAGACATTATTGCAACTTAATGTAAGTTCCTTAACAGCAACCCGGCATCAATGCTGTATGCGTAGAGGGTGTTGTAGTGCTCACAAACAGGCCAGCCGTAAATAAGCGCCTCTTTGGCGAACCCTAAACCCTAAACCCTAAACCCTAAACCGTCTGAACCGGAGCGTGCAGCGCTCATGGCTTCAGGTGTTCAAGCGAACAAGCTGGTCTCCTAGATCCTAAACCCACAACTCCCAAGAAAACCCCTAAACCCCCTAAACCCACAAGTTGCCGAACCATGAAGTTCATTCATGTCACGACGCTGCAGAACCAGTCTGGCAGACATTGGCTTAAGTTAAAGCCAAAGCTGTTGAGCCACGCCCATGCAGAGACTGTTTGCTGTGCTAGGTTCTGTGCTCAAGAGCGAGCTGTCAAAGCACTGTCAGTGAAGACGACTACGCACAGCTTTTCAACTTAGTTTCTCCCCACTTCGTACACTGAACCTCTTCAAACTCAACGTTCTCAAACGGACGATGAACCACTCGTGAACAAAACCGGAGTCTAATGCATCGAAAACTCGAGAACGGATGAACTTCCTTGCAAGAACTCTACTTTCGCCCTCTCCATCCTTTACACCCTAAACCCTAAACCCCTAAACCCCTAAACCCAACCCCTAAACCCTATTTAAACCCTAATCCAGCGGAACAAATACAAGAGATCCACGAAGCCATCTCGGGGTTTCATGAAGGTTTATGGTTGGGGTTGATGGTTAGGGTTTAGGGGTTTAGGGGTTTAGGGGTTTAGGGTTTAGGGTTTAGGTTTTAGGGTTTAGGGGTTTAGGGTTTAGGGGTTTAGGGTTTGGGGACACAAGCTCCATGATCTTGGTTACATGCTTTTGCAGTCTCTCGGATTCGGCGTAGTAGGCGTCTCTTCCCCGGCGATATTCGCCAGATCCAGAACGCTCCGTGGCGCGGTAACGGCGGGGATTACCTTGCCGTCCGGACCCACCCACTTTCCATACGCACTTGGCATGATCTTGCCGGGCGGGTTTAGGGTTTAGGGTTTAGGGTTCAGTATTCTCAGTTAGATTGTTTAAGTCCCTACTGTATCTTCAGTCCCCACCACTTTGTAGGTCGTACAACTACAGGCGTGTATATGGCTTAGTCAGGTCTAAACGTTGCACCTGGTGTTCAACATAAGCCTGTAGGTCGATGTCGAACCATCATAAGAGAGTATGGAAAGCTGCAACGTCTCACATCGCAATTCATTCGGTGCAATATAATCCGGAAACCCGTTTTGGGGTTCCAGCAGAAGACTGCAAAACTCACTCCACAGGCTTCTCTTCCATCGGCTGGTCCTCCTCCGCAGGCTTTTCCTCCGCGGGCTTCTCATCCGCAGGCTTGTCCTCTGGGGGCTTTTCCTCCGCAGGCGTGTCCTCTGCAGGCTTCTCCACTGCAGGCTTGTCCTCCGTGGGCTTGTCCCGGCTGTCCATCCGAACACTGCAGTCCTTGAGTGCCGCATGACAGCTCAGCTCAACATGCGACACAAAAAAACACCCAGAGCACTGAACCAAAGACGGCCCACCTCTTGGATGTGCAAAGTCATGTCAGCATCGTTTGCCTTGATTGTCTGATTATGAGCCGCAAACGGAGTTCTACACTATAAACTCCGTGGGGTTCCGGATGCCTACTTAAAGGATCATGGGACTTAGTCGTTAGGGATATAAATAAGGTAACTATAGATATAGCAAATTATAACTCCAGTTAAAGTGCTTATAACCTTACTTACTAAGTCCCATGATCCTCCAAGTAGGGTTTAGGCTTTCGGGTTCAAGATGGTGGCGAAAAGACAACGAAGAGAATGGCTAACCAGACAGTGGGGCAATACAGGGGCCTGAAAGATTCGAAAAGGGGTTTGGGGTTTAGGGTTTAGGGGTTTAGGGTTTAGGGTTTAGGGTTTAGGGTTACATAGGGACTATTGTAGGGGGATACGATTACTTGATATTCCGACTCCGATACCAAAGGAACCCTGAACCCGTCTCGACCCTTTAGTTTAATGGGGGCCCTTACAGCACACTTGAGGGTGCGTGAAACCCCACACCCATTTGCTTTCTCTTATGGTTTTTACAAGGAGTTCGAATGCTCTAAAAGTACGGACGCATCTACTTTAAACAATGCTCTCGAGGGTTTTATCATCCCTCACTTGTTAACCGTTGGCCCTCTATGAAACTTGGCCCGAACCCTAAACCCTAAACCCTAAACCCTAAACAAGGTCTCGATCCAAATCACTGGAACATCGGAGCAAGTGGGAAAACTTCAGTCACAGGGTTTAGGGCATGGGGTTTAGGGTTTAGGGTTTAGGGTTTAGGGCATGGGGTTTAGGGTGGGGGGCTGAGGGTTTGAGGTATAGGGCTTATGGAAATTTGGTAAAGGCGGGAGAAAGGGAGAACCCGAACGTCCTGCAAACCCTCCACCTGCCTGTTCAGCATTTTCCAGTGTGAAGAAACACGTCCGCGGCCGTCGGTGGATGCGCTGATCCTGACAATTTACACAAACCTGGCCTAAACCCGACAGCCCACAGCTCCGCAACCCTAATGCCTAAAACCCTAAACTGAACTGTCATATACTGAAAAAGCCTCTACAGGATCGCGAACTTGATGCTTTACGTATTACATCATTATCATCATCACACCACGATCACAATCATCACCGTCATCAACCTCATCATCACCACCACCATCATCACGTCTTCGATCAAAACTTTAAGCCGTTACACAACAGCCGTCCTCTGGCAAGACCAAGCCCCTCTCTTCCACGTGTGCCTGGCGCTGATCGGGTAAGGACTTCGGCGAAAAGCTCACTAAACCCTAAACCCTAAACCCTAGCAGCTATCAGAGTTGAAACTAAAACTTGCCAGGTTCAGGCTTCGGGGTTCATTAATGTTCAGGGTTTAGGGTTTAGGGTTCAGGCTTCGGGGTTCTTTAAGCATTTGAATAGGATGTTGCGGTGCACTGTAGTGCACTTTTGATCAGGAGCTCCGGGCACTCGCATGGCGAATTATTTAATGTATATAGGGGCCTGAAAAATTACAGCAGCTTTTTTTTGGAGGGGGGGTCCTTGTTATAATTGTAGTACAATGGGCCCCAAAACCTTATTCTTAACTCCTGTACTCGACTTCTACACTACAGAGCTTGAGAGCTGTTGATTTGTAGTTGTAGGGTCTAAACCCTAGACCCTAAAACTAAACCCTACGCCGTACGCCCATAGAGCTTCAGGGTTTGAAGGGTCGAGGGATCTTTCGTCGATGCCGCCTGCACCGCTCAAGTAGCCAAAATACGTAACAACAACAACTACTGCTACTACTACTGTACTATTATTGGTTTCTCATTTTTACTCCTATTATTAAGGCTGGATAGGGGCTCAGGGTTTGGATTCGAAACTTGTCGGTGCTGTCGATGGGCAGTTGGAAACTGCATGCAAACGGCAAACGGGCTGAGAGCAAATTAGGCGCATCTAATGCCCTTGCCGCCCTTGTCGCCCCCCTCAACCCTGAACCCTAAACCCAAAGCCCCCAAACCCGTGTCACCCTTGTCACCCTAAAGCCTGAAGCCTAAACCCTAAGCCCGCCAGGTGACTCGCAGCAGCTTCGTCATTTGGACGGCAGTTTTGGCATCGTAGTGGTGAAGCGGCCGCTGGGCGACCATGACTTCCGGATTCCTTGCCACTGCTGGTATATATTATATGCTATATATATATGTTATGTCATAAAATGCTAGATGTTATATACTGCATATGATACATTATAAACTATATTATATGTGTATATATATATATACATGATGTAGGGTTTAGGGTTTAGCGACCGTGCTGCTGCCACGGACTATTCGCATTTCTGCTGCTGCGATCATAGCTGTTCTGGTTTGTTGTAGCGGCTGCTGTCGTTGTGATGGTAGTGGTGCTGGTGACGGCGGTGGTGTAGCGGCTGCAGCTCATATGCTACTGCTGACTGTCTCCGTCGACTGCTCAGCTTCCAGAAAGGAGGAAAGGACCTCAAACAGGATCTGTGACAGAACCTGAGTATTCAAAGTACCCCAGCGCGCATCACCAAAGGACACAGACTCAGCAGCATGCGAGCATATCTTCGGGTATTGTAGATATGTAGATATAGAAATAAATATAGATATAGCTCTCTCTATATATATATATATAGTATCCATATATCTATATATGTATATACACACACATAAACACCTACACATGAATCGATATCTCTCTGTCTCTCTTACTTGTTTATCTAGTTACTTGTCTGTCTTTTGGTCCAATTACCAGGGGCTTCCGGATGGACCTAAACCCTAAACCCTAAACCCTAAACCCTAAACCCTAAACCCTAAACCCTAAACCCTAAACCCTAAACCCTAAACCCTAAACCCTAATTGGTCCAATGACCAGGGGCTTCCGGATGGATGGCCGGGTCTCTGTGCCCCCAAACATCCGAAACCCGAAGACGCTGACACACAAGCCCGGCTGCCCTGCCTAAGGGGATTCAGGAAGGTTTAGGGTTTAGGGTTTAGGGTTTAGGGTTTAGGGTTTAGGATTCAGGAAGTCTTCGATAGGTGTAGGGGGCCGCCCAAACTCTAAGGCCCAAAACCCGTACCCCATCTTCAGAAACCCCTCCGCCAACCCTCACTCCGACACCCTTAATAGTATTGATAATAATGATAATGATAATGATAATGATAATAGTAATGATAATGATAATGATAATGATAATGATAATGGTAATGATAATGATAATGATAATGATAATGATAATGATAATGGTAATGGTAATGATAATGATGATGATATTAAGAGTAGTAACGGATAGTGACCATACTACTGATAGTACACCCCCAAGCCCTACACTTATAAACCAAGGTGCATGATCATGGCGCGAGCAAGGTTGATCCTTGGCATCTTGCGGAAGAGGCTCGTTGCGGAAGGACGCGGCTCGGCCAGGTTTAGGGCATCGGGTTTAGGGTTGCTTTTACAGGATTTTCAACTCTACTAGAGACACTCAGTCGAAACGATGTCCGCAGTACCTTCTGCCCGGATTAACCTGAACAGCTGCGGCAACTCGCGGCAGCTCCCACCCGCGTGCAAGCTTGAGCTTGCGACCTTGCAACTATTATTCACGAGCCGGAACCTTGAAGTCAGCTTTTCGTCGAACTCGCGCAAAAAAGACTACCCTTGACCTGCGGCTAAGTTGCTTCACCTTCTCTGTGTAGGTGATGCCATCCATCCACTTGTTGTCCGGCCTTGTTGACTGCAGGGCTGAGGGTGTCGAAGGAAGTCTTCAGAGGAACTACTCCCACCACAGCGCCGTGTGTGCCCCGTGCGAAGAGATTGTTCCCAAGAGCCATCTTCAAGCACTCAGAACTTTCGTCTTTCAACCCCTAAACCCTAAACCCTAAACCCCAAATTTGCCATCCCAGCCACGGCCGATTCCAGGTATCTCCCGCCGCCCGGCGTCCCTCTCTCGCCACGCGATCCAGGTCCTTCCAGGCCAGGGGTTGAGAGTTTAGAACTGGGCTTAGGGTTTAGGGTTTAGGGTTTAGGGTTTAGGGTTTTAGGGTTTAGGGTTTAGGGTTTAGGGTTTAGGGTTTAGGGTTTAGGGTTTAGGGTTTTGTTGCCTCTACTGTCTTGCAACTCTGTTGCCTTTGTTCTGAACCCTCGACCCTGAACACGAATCCAGTCCTATACCCGAATCCCGAAAGAGCCCTCATAGCTGCCAGCAGCTTTGAAGTCCTCCTCGATCAGCTTCAGGGTGGCCTGCATCCTGGTTCTGTGCTGGGGCTATATGAAAAATGATCATGTTTAACTTCTTATTGGGTTTTATGAAAGCACAAATCCTTATTGGGTTTTACTATAGCAACAATGTAAATTGGGTTTTACTATAGCAACAATGTAAATTGGGTTTTACTATAGCAACAATGTAAAAAAATGTAAACAACAAGGACCCAGCATCCCCATCATCTCGAGGATTGTGCGGATCCGCTTTGGGACGACCGGTCGGTCTCCGACCCCGAAGACCAGGTTCACCCAGGCAGAAGCCTCTTTGGGTTTAGGGTTTAGGGTTTAGGGTTTAGGGTTTAAGTTTAGGGTTTAGGATTTAGGGTTTAGGATTTAGGGTTTAGGGTTTAGGGTTTAGGGTTGGTTCACCCAGGCAGAAGCCTCTTTGGGTTCAGGGGAAAGGGCTCAGCTTCAAGGGAGCCCTAAAAAATGGAACCCTAAAGTACCCGTAAAAAGGAACCCTAGACCCCTTCTTACTAAGTCCCGGCTTTGAGGCCTTTTTTTGCCACAACTTTGCAGGGCAACTAGACGAGACAGATCCGCATCGCCACCTTTCGCATACGTAATTTATCGTTCCTTACATATTAGTGAAATGCTTCTGAGCCCAAGTAAGGCCGAAAGGTCAAGGTCACATATGTGCATATGAGGTGCAGCTGCTGCCGCCGTATTCAATGGAGTTCTAGCAAGCACATCGGTAGCCGTTACAGTCTGTTTCACTGGGTAGAACATATATGTATGTCTATATATATATATACACACACACATACATCTATCCGAACATATACATATTATACACAGGCACACACATATACATAAATAATAAATAAATAAATACATAAATACATAAATAAATAAATAAATAAATGAATGAATAAATACATACATACATACATACATACATACATACATACATACATACATACATACATACATACATACATACATACATACACACATATGGGAGGGCCTAAGGACTTGGTATGATTTTATGATTTGGGTGGGTGCGAAGTGCATTTCCAGGCCCCTACGGTACCCTTGCCAAGACGCATTTAAGAGCATCGGCTCCTGCGCCAGATGAAGGATGCGAAGGTGCGACGGGACGAAGATGCAGCCGTCCTGGAGGGGTATCGTTGCACTTAAACCTAAGGATGGCTAGTCGTACATAAGGGTTAGCGAAAAGGGACACCCAAACCCTAACCCTAAATCTCCATACACTAGACCCTATAACCCTAAACTCTGAGGCCCTCAAACCCTAAACCCCAAAACAGCCAAAGCCTAAACCCCATAAGTTTATCCTGAAACCCCAAACCCAACGAGGCTTTCTCTCAGGGGGCTGAGAACTCTCATTTCGACTGGGCTGAGGCAGAGGGGGGGTCTGTGTTGGAGTCCGAAATCCGTTCATGGGTTGAGGGTTCTCCGGTGTAGGGTTCAGGTTTGGGGTTAGGGTTTAGGGATTGGGGTTTGGGGTTTTAGGGTTGTTGGGGGTTCCAGGGCTTTGGGTTTTAGGGTTTAGGGTGTCGAGGAGTGGACTGCGGGCTTACCTTCCACGGCAACAAATCAGACTCCAGCTTTTACATGCAGAGATGGGTACAACACACCATCCCTGATTGTGGCGTTCCATTGCTAATGTAGGAACCTGATTAAGAAACCCTGGGCCTTTATTTGGGGTTCTTAATATGAAGCCTATTATATTGGGGCTATAGGGCCAGGGGTTTCCCTACATTAGGTGTTCGCGACAAAAACAGGATGCTCTCAGAACATGAAGACTCAGATCAAGACGACTACGCTCAACGCTGACAAGTTCGCAGCTGAGGGGGTTGCATACCCGGTGCATGTTTCGAAGCGGTGTGTGCTCCAAGGGGACACCCGAACCAAGAGACGTGCATAGCTCCTCTCCTGAGGGAAGATGATGTGGGCGAGCAGCCTCCAGGCAGCGTCAACACTTTTCGAGGAGGCCGCACTACAGAGAAGCACATCTCCAGAAAAACCGATAAAGCTTCTTCGGCGTCGGATGTAACTGAGTCTCTTATCATGAAATGGCTTTTTCGGTGATACTTGCCCAAACCAGAATAACAATTCCTACTATAGAAATCCAACTTTCTCCTCTTTGGGTACATGAACTTCACACGTCACAGCAGGATCGTCGCCACAAGAAGCGGCCAGTGGCCGCAGTTTACGCATGCAGCCCCTCGCAGTCGACTGGAAGCTTGCCCAAAGGGTCCGATAAACCTATATAGTAGAATGTAGAGTTTCTATGTTAGGCATTTCTATTATGACTTAAAGTAGAACGCAGAGCTTCTATATTAGGAATTTCTATCATGGTGTAGAGTCTATTTAGAGTAGAGTATAGAGTTTCTATACTAGGAGTTTCTATTTTGATTTAAGGAAGTATTCCCCGTAACAGTACACACGGCCCTTAGGGTTGTGATAAACAGAATACCCCCACCCCACCCCACCCCCGCGTCTTCTTCGGATCGTTCCTGGTAAGGAGGCGTATGAAGGCTTGGGGTTCAGGGTTTAGGGCTTAGGGTTAAGGGTTGAGGGTT